CTACATTTTTTTTTTTGTCTGAAATAGAATTGTTGATAAGTATGAAAATTAAATAAAGTTTGTATTGGCTATTTCTTCGATTGTTGTTAAAATACTTTATTTCCCCTCTAATACGATATTTCGATACCAAATATTCTTGCTTTCTTTAGTATGTGGAATTTATGTCAATTTTATTTAGATTTAATATTAATAATGAATCAGAAAAAAGGGGATTTTTCCTGTCAAATAAATTTCCACGCTTTCAATGACACCGTTTTTTTTTTTCCCGAGATGCATGTTTCAAGTTTAATTTATGCTGGTAACTATGAATTCAATTCAAATAGAAATGATTATTAAATCTTATCTATGAATTGACCATATCTGTCAAAACAAACGAGGCCTTTTTCAATACATAAATTGCTACGCAACCTCAAATGCATGTATCCCCGTTAATACCAATATCATAATTGTAATCGGACCCTATCCCTTACATTTTAACTCGAAAACAATCTCATTCAAACTCACATATACTCCCAGGAGCTTTGAAGTGTCTCAAGTGGAACTCTTTACGGTCAATGAATCAAGGAAATTCCGTTAACTTTAACTCGACAATAATACAACACAATTTCAACGGAACCCGTGGCGTAGTGGTTAGAGCGCTCGCCTGAATCGGAGGGTCCAGGATCAATCCAGCTGGAGCACCTTATTTTTTTTTTATTTTTTTTTTTATTTCTTTTTTTGCGTTTTTCTTCGTTTTTTCAACCCAAATGACACGGAAACACTTAAAAAACTGGAAAGACCTCTTATTGTTCTGTGAACAATAAGTCTCCGGTTATAGTTCCCCCCAAAAAGTTGGGGGAAAATATTGTTTTTACTCTGTTTCTTATTATTATTATGTTCCCCAAACGAAGTTGGGGAACATATTGTTTTTACTCTGTTTCTTATTATTATTATTTTTCTTCTTCTTCTGGGTATTTTTTTTTCCGGGAGTGATCTTGTAAACACACATCCGACTTAGGTAAAACCTTTTTAGGGTCAGTAGACATGTTATGTAGATTTGCGGAACGAAGGTCATTTTGCGCGCACGTGCTTGCAAGAGCGTGCACGTGCAACACGTGAAATGACCGATTTAATTCATATAGGCGTAACTTTTCAATTTTTTTATGAAATGCTTTGAAACTCATAATATAAGGATATATTAGTAGCACAGACAATATGACATGGGCAAAATAGCAAATCTACGCGCATGCACGTGCGCTTCGCTCTGATTGGCTGAAACTAAAGTCTCAATATCTTTCTTGTTTTTTGACGAAATCCTTTGAAATTTAAGACATAGCCATAGAATAGGATATCCTACAACATGATATATAGCAATTATCATGAAAACACATGCATGCACGTGCGCTGCAATCTGATTGGCTTAAACTTTAAATAGCTATAATTCCCTTGGTTTTCAACCAAACAGGATGGGATTTGGAACATAGATAGATACAATGGATATCTACAAGAAGGTGTGGTCACTATGCATATGCATACACGTGCGTGTACGTGCGCTGCAATCTGATTGGATGAAACTTTAAACAGCTAAAACTCCCTTGGTTTTCAACCAAACGGGATGGGATTTAGAACATAGATAGATGTAATGGACCTCTACAAGAGGGTATGGTCACCATGCTCATATATGCATGTGCGTGCACGTGAAATGAAAAATCAAAAATACACTTGAATAGCGTATTTTTTAATACTTTTGGATTAAATACTTTAATATTGTGTAGACAAGATGATATGGTCATAACGCACATGATTCACACGCGCACGCGGCATTGCTCAAATTTGAATGAACTTGATACACTTTTGGGTAAACGTTTTAAAATCTCAAATGCATAGAGTTTGTCTTATTTAATGAAGCTTACAGGGAAAATGGCACCAAAAGGGAGTTGGGGAGCGTTTGGGGAACATCTGTAACGGTCCCCGTTACAATTAGCACTAGTTATTATTATTTTTCTTCTTCTTCTTCCTGGAAATTTTTTGTCCGGGAATGATCTTGTAAACTGTTCGTCCGATGTAGGTAAAACCTTTTTAGGGTTAGTAGACATGTTATGTAGATTTGCGGGAATCAAGGTCATTTTGCGGCACGGCTTGCAAGACGGCACGTGCAACACGTGAAATGACCAATATAATAGATATAGCCACAACTTTTCTTTTTTTATATGAAATGCTTTGAAACTCATAATGTGAGGATGTATTAGTAGTATAGACATGACGACATGGTGAAAATAGCAAGATCTCACGCGCATGCACGTGCACTTCGCTCTGATTGGCTGCAACGAAAGTCTCAATATTTTTTTGTTTTTTGACAAATCCTTTGAAATTTTGAACATAGCCATGCATTAGGATATCCTACAACTTGAAATAAAGCAATTATCATGAAAACACGTGCATGCACGTGCGCTGCAATCTGATTGGCTGAAACTTTAAACAGCTATAACTCTCTTGGTTTTAAACCCAAAACAGGATGGGTTTTGGGAATAAGAAGATAAATATACTTCTACAAGTGGGTTTGGTCACCATGCACATGCATACACGTGCGTGTACATGTGCTGCAATCTGATTGGCTGAAACTTTAAACAGCTATAACTCCCTTAGTTTTCCCCCAAAGGGGGTGGGATTTAGAACATAGATAGATGTAATGGACTTCTACAAGAAGGTATGGTCACCATGCTCATGTATGCACGTGCGTGCACGTGAAATGAGTATAATCAAACATACACTTGAATGAGCGTTTTTTTTAAATAATTTTGGATTAAATACTTTAACATTCAGTGTATTAAAAATATAGATTGTGTAGACAAGATGATATGGCCATGACGCAAATGCATTCACATGTGCACGCGTGCAAAGCTAAAGTTTAAATGATTTTTGTACACTTCTTTGTAAATGTTGTTAAAATCTCAGATGCATAGAGTTTGTTTTATTTAATGAAGCTTACGGGGAATATGGCACCAAAAGGGAGTTGGGGAGCGTTTGGGTACATCTGAAAGGCCCCGTTACAATTAGCACTAGTTATTTTTCTTCTTCCGGGAAAATCTAGTCCACGAATGATTTTGTAAATACACATCCATAAGGAAAACCTTTTTTAGGGTTAGTAGGGATGTTATGAGATTTGCCGAACGAAGGTCATTTTGCTCGCACGTGCTTGCAAGAGCGGGCACATGCAACACGTTAAATGGCCAATATAATGTATACTGCCTTAACTTTTCTATTTTTTTATGAAATTCTTTGAAACTCATAATGTAAGGATATATTAGTAGTGTAGACAAGATGACATGGTCAAAATAGCAAGATCTCACGCGCATGCAGGGCCTTTGCTCTGATTGGCTGAAACTAAAGTCTCAATATCTTTCTTGTTTTTTGACGAAATCCTTTGAAATTTTGAACATAGCCATGCATTAAGATATCCTACAAAATGATATATACAATAATCATGAAAACACGTGCACTCACGTGCGCTGCAATCTGATTGGCTGAAACTTCAAACAGCTATAACTCCTTTGGTTTTCAACCAAACAGGATGGGATTTGGAACATAGATATATATAATAAATTCTACAAGAAGGTATGGTCACCATGCACATGCATACACGTGCGTGCTGCTCTGCAATCTGATTGGCTGAAACTTTAAACAGCTATAACTCCCTTGGTTTTCAACCAAAAAGGGTGGGATTTAGAACATAGATAGATGTAATGAACTACAAGAAGGTATGGCCACCACGCTCATGTATGCACGTGCGTGCACGTGAAATGGTTAAAATCAAAAATACACTTGAATGAGCATTTTTTAAATATACTTTTGGATTAAAACTTTAATATTAAGCATATTAAAATATATGGATTATGTAGACAATATGATATGGTCATTACATGCGAAAAGTGAATGATAAAATTTGAATGAACATGGTACACTTCTGGGTAAACGTTGTTAAAGTCTCAAATGCATAGAGTTTGTCTTATTTAATGAAGCTTACAGGGAATATGACTACAAAAGGAATTTGGGGGAGCTTTTGGGGGAAATTTCTTAAAACCCCCGTACAATTAGCACTAGTTTATCTTGCATTTATGGGAAGGCACCATATCAGAAAGCCTATCATTTATTTGATGTATTGATTTTTGTTATTGTTTTGATTTAGTGTTGTTTTTTCTCTTTCTGAAATTTTCTTTGTTTACAAGTAAACTCTGAGGAAGCTACTAGCATGTATGGTCATATACACATCCACATCTAAATTGAGTAAAGAGCTCTTTTCTTTAGTATTTTTCATTTAAAATAAGAAAGACTGTGCATATTGAATATTTTAGGCCATTAATAGTGAGTTTGTGTTAAATAATAAATCATGCTTTGAAATTTTCACATGTACAGAAATACAGGAATTTTAAAAGGTAACATTTTTTTCCCTTGTTTTATAAAAGAAAAAGGACCAAGGAATAAATCTATAACTGTAAATCATAATTGTTTATTAAAACCAATGTTGGGTTGTGTGGGTCTTCCTAACCCACAAATTTACATCCCCATGATTGTTTATTTTGTAAGCATAATAATTTATTTGTATTTGCCATATCAAGTAGTAACCCATGAAGTAAAGTCTCCATGAACAAGTAAAGTTTTGCTACCCCCAAAAATTTAAAAATTCACCAGTAAATAGGGAAGTGGAACAAGCAAAACATATCAAACACAAATTATACAAAGAAGCTTATACCATCTGTTATATACATCTTTCTGCAACAGACATTTTGGAACAGATATGCAAAGCATACATGCATTTATAAATGAATACATTTAAATCATGATCAGTTATTTCTTTCACAAATAAAGCGATCCATTTAAAAAAGCATAAGATTATATGAAATTCTTTTAAATGTTTATTTCATGTTTTAATGGTAATGAAAAAATTTTTTTGCATATGGACAAACATACAATGTATATAAAATAATTCTGCAAATGAAATTAATTGTTGATGAGATACTTACTGAGGTAGCATTTCTGTTGGCGTAGTTTACACATGCGTTATGGCTTTGATTTATCCACTGCCAAAATATGGTGCTGGCTATGGTTTGATTTGGTAGTAACAGTCCAACAACCTGTACATCAACCATTTAAAGCAAACTGAGATCAAAATATTCAAAAAATATCACCAAATATTAGAATTTTTAACTCTTAATCTTATAAAAAAACTTACCATAGGAGATCCAAAAGGCACGAACCCTAAAAAACATATAAATACATAAACTGTTGTTTATAAATTTCTTAGAGATGAGAGAGTGGTGTGAATTTTTTACCTTTAGGTTAAGTTGGAAATTAATGTAACATATTCCTGATTCATCATTATTATAGCATTAATTGTTACTAAATACATGTAACTACTCAAGAAATGTTATGAAATAGTATTCCAGATATATTTTTATACATTTCTCTTTTTAGAATGCATTGCATGTTTCTTTAAATTATATACATTTCAAAAATTTGCAGATTTTTGGTTTAATGCATCTTTGATCTTCAAACTAATTAAATAATATAAATGATATAAATAGATTTCAAATTTCTAATAGATGTTTCACGCAAAAAAAAAAATTCTTGAAAATAATGATAATATAGTTACCTACATTCTAAGGGCATAAATACTTTTTCTCCCGTGTCTGGGTGTATGATTGCCTGCAAGGTGTTAAAAAATATTACATGAATAGGAATATAATCATATTGTATTGACTTTAAAAAATCAACAAATCATCAAAATCTAAATATTCTCATTTATTATTTGAATTTGTATGTTAATTACTCCTTGGAATGATGATGTGATGATAGAACTGAACAAAAATACTTTGTGAAAAGGATGAAAGCATTGTCCTACACACAATCCAAAAACATGGTACCCTCCAAAAAATTTTAAACCCACAATATGAACTTCTACCTGTTTAATTTTTTGAGCTTCCCATAACTCTTTATTTGTAACATTTGGTGGCAATCTGTTCTTTGCAAAGTCATTAAGAGTTTAATACTTCTCTGTAATTCTTCCTATTGAAAAAGAATTTTTAAAACTGTAATTTTTCATCAGTTTGTGCAAAAAAAGAGTACAAGTGTCTTCATGTACATGTATATCTTATAGGGATGTCAACGAACAGTCGACTATCAGTCAAATGGACCTACGATCGAATAATGAAATGACATTCGAATATTAAATAAGTGCAAGAAATAAGTGATAAGTATCTCAAAAGTGAAAAAAAAATATTCCTCAAACCATTACAGTATATGTTCTCAGACAAATAAGAGCTCAGTTGCCTTCCCAATACATAAATAATTTTCCCATTGATTATGGAAAGTACAGTTAGTAATTACATACCCGGTTAGCAATAATTATTTCTCAATTAAAGACCTATTTTTGTTATTGTAGTAAATTATGCAGCTCCAAAATTGGATTTGTACCAATTATAAATTAATTATTACCTCCACGAATGTTCAAATGCTAGGAACACACCATAGCCGTAAATTGTTGAAACTTCGATAATCAAAACAATAATCTTACTTAGTATGCTAGGAATATTAATAGCGGGGGGAATTATTATTTGAACAAAAAGTATTTGACAAGTGTGTTTATACCTCCCCATAACCATTTAATAAGCTTTAAAAACAATCGTGCTGGCAATTCTGTAAACTTACTGGAATGAAACTGACTGTACAGACCAATAAATGTGATGAGAATTTTGGAGAATTGCTGGTGTACATCTATTTCATTTCATGATCTTATCTCTGAGATTCAGTGTCCAATACAGGCATTAAATTTGATGTTACCTTTTACATAAATTTATGAAAAAGGGTCTTGAGTTATAAAGACGCTATCGATGAGATTATTTTTAAAAAATGTTTCGAATAGTCGACTATCGTTCGAATAATACAATCAAATGTTCGACTAAGGAAAATGAATATTTTGACATCCAGTGATTTTTCTACAATTTTTAAAAGGGGCCTGGGCCTTTTCAATTGGGGGAAAAAATTTTCGACATTTGTGTCAAATTGGGAAAAACAATAAAATTGTAATTAACCTTCATATTGACGAGTAAAATAAAATATATACCGGTAAGTAAATGTTATACCATTTATTAAATTTATCTGCTACAAAATTTTTCAACAAAATGGGCACAGTTTTACATTTCTAATTTTTGTTCTTTGATTGTCCTATATTACAATTTTTGCCATAATGGTAGACATAATTGAGAAAAAAACATTCCCAATTTCTCGTTATTGCTCACATTGGAGATGGAATAATCTTGACATGATTTACAAGCATGTATTGCTGTATTTTCTGCAATGCTAGTATCTGCAGGATGAAGAAACAGTTTAATTTTTTTTGAAATCAAGGAAGCTTTTTGTAGAGCTACTAGTACTTGCAATTTAAAAAAAAGTAGTTTTACTATTCACATGCATATTAAATTTCATATGTGATTGACACACAAGTTTGACAACTACATCATCAGATTCAACTTTGGGCAGCTCCCTGCTACACATTCGCGCATGCGCATTGAGACTTTCGCTTTCACTTTGGATTGTGAAAGAAAACACTTCGCACGCAGGATTGTGTTGAATATTTGTCCAAGTCTTGCAAACACACAAATAAACTGCTGTTTTTTCGTATCATTTTAAGCGCCCCAATGACCAAACACAATAGCGTTCCATTTTAGATAAGTCGTACATAAAAATTCAATATGACCAAAACAATATACGTTTTGTTTTTGGGGAAAAAAGCAGTTGAAAATTGGGAAAAATTGGAATTTTTGAGAGGGGAAAGGCCGAATTCGGACCTAAATTGAGTTTAGAAAAATCACTGACATCCCTAATATCTTAAAAAAAAAAAACATGCAAGCATTCTTTGTAATGCTAAATTCTAACATGAAAATTAAAAAGTCAGTAATAGGTAAAAACAAATTAAAAGAATTGTTAAAAAGGAGACTTAATCTGTAGAAAAGACAACCTTTGAAGTAAATAGAGTTCTAGGATCTATGACATCAAAAAAGTGTCGAAGTCTGCCATCAAATGTTACTAAATATTAAAGATGTCAAATTAGTATAATCTGAATTATATGTTTAATTCATCAAATACTCATTTTCTTCATCCAAAATTCATGGACAGAAGAGTATGTCCTAAAAAATGTTGTATTTAAATTAAAATCCAGTGCCAATCACCAGGATCCTTCTTTTAAAAGATTTGATGTTTATAGATATAGTGTAATTTTCTAGCATTTCTGTTATATACATTTGTAAAGATGTTTAATTTCATTCATTATTATTCATTCTACTCACTTTATCCAATATATTTGCTAAGTTTAATGAAGAAATCACTGGGAAATTTAAGGAAGACTGTACTGTCAAACAATCATTACCATCTTTTCATACATTACACAGATATTTTTCTAAACTCCTCTTAGGCCTAATGCAAGTATAAAAAAAGGAACAAGTGAAGAATCATCTAGCAAACAAATTAATTGGTAAAAATGGCCAGCTGGAGTATGTTGAAACACCAAGGTAGCTATGAATAGCTACATACATGTACAAATGTAAGTAGAAATACGTACAGTCATGTAATGATCAGATGAAAGTGTTTGGACTGGGCTTGATAAAGTTTTTGTGGACATACACACGCAGCAAGACGGACAGACCAAAAACTATGTGCACACGTGCACATGAATGTTTTTTAAGGGGGCATAAAAATTTTTTGTTCTTTAGAAAAGATGTTGTCTCTTCAGTCTTGACTTTAACGGTGAACGTGACTTGTACACGAGCATGGTATTTCATTTAAATAATCGTCATAAAAAATAACCTATATATGTTTAGTTTTTAGCAAACTCAGTTAACTAACCTGGTCATAACGAGGTTTTCCAAGTTTAAAAGGTGGATATGCATCCGACATCTTCCTCAGTTTTCAAGAATATGTAGGTCTGTCATGTGACAACTCTGCTCTCTTTACCAGTTATCACGTTCTCAAGGTTTTGTTTGGACCGTAGAAAAAGCAGGAA